GAGGCGGGGCCGCCGCAGGGCCTCCGCGAGGCCGCGACTCCCACGGCCATCAGTGCGCGGTGCTGAGTCAGACGCCCAGCGAGGCGGGGCGGGAGGGTTACGAGGGTGGCTGGCACCGCAGCGCCGGCCGAGATCCCCACTAGCTTCCCTCAGGACGAGTCATTGCTTTGGTGTGGCGTTTTGTTGGTGGTGGTGGTTGTAGTCTTGGGGCTTGATCTTGGGGCCTGGGCACGGCCCCTGGGCTTTGTCCAAGTCTCCCGAGTGCCCTTTGACTTCAGCCACAGTTCCACTTCTTGGCTTTTTGTAGATGAGACCTTCACATTTCAGCCTCCCGAGTAGATAATTATAGGCGTGCGCCAGGTTTGGCTTTTTTCTTTTTCATGTTCCCATTCTCCAGGCCTGAGTTGATGTTGGTGTGGGGCAGAGTGTGAGATGCTGGGAACTAGCAGACCTCCCAGAAGGAGGAACAAGACAGATCTCAGTTCAGATGGCAACCTTGAACCTTTCTCAGGGTGAAGTAGTTGTTCACCCAGGGTACTGGCAGGACTCGGTGATGCTGCCACACAGTTAGGACCCAGTGAGTGGGAAGTATTTCCTGCAGTCCCGGGATGGGTGCAGTGACCCTGGGGTAGGAGTACAGAAGGACTTGCCTTGGCATCTACATTTGAGTAGGAGTGCTCTGGGAGCCAGTGGAGATTGATTGGGTCTGTAGCTCAGTGGTAAGAGTTCGTGTTTAGTAGACACAAGGGTGGGCTTGGTCTCCAGTTCACCTACTTATAGTGAAGTAACCAGGGTGGTCGGGGAGCTGGGCTCCTGTGATTCAGGCCTATAATCCCAAGGCCTGGAGGATCTTGGTTTGAAAACAGTCTGAGCAGAAAAGTCGGAAAGACTGTATCTTTGATTAATAAGCAAAATGCTGGGCTGGAAGCATGGCTCAAGTAGGAGAATACAGATGTGGGCAAAAATGCCGAGCAAGAGCAAATGAAAAGAATGGTCATCGTTCCTGTTTTCCAAAGGTTGCTCCCTTTGCCAAAGCCTTGTGGGCATCAGCTTAGTGCCCTTGCTGTGCCCTACACACTGGTCAGCGCACTTTATGGATGAGGAGACAACTGGCAGAGGAACCATGAGATGCCACATGCACATTCAGTCCCCATGCGTTTCTGTTTTTTTTTTTTTTGGGTCCAGTCGTGGGTCTTGAACTCTGGGCCTAGGTGCTGTCCCTCAGCTCTTCAGCTCAAGGCTAGCGCTCTACCACTTGAGCCACAGCGCCACTTCCGGTTTTTTCCTTTTTGCTTATGTGGTGCTAAGGAATCGAACCAGGCATGCAAGGCAAGCACTCTACCACTGAGCCACCTTCCCAGCCCTGCGTTTCTGTTTTTGAATCTTGGGCAAGTGCTCTACCATAGGGCTAGATCCCTTCTCCCCTCAGCCTTAAATCCTGGTCATCTGTGGTTCTCAGGCTCTCGAGTGCATCCCTCTCTTCCCTCACCGCCAGAGTGGGGTTTGGGTGTGGCAGCCTTGGTAGATCCCTGGAGGCTGCTGGTCCCCTGCGGTATGCCGAGCATGGGGACTTGCACCATGAGGTTCCTTAGTGCTGCATCTTGCCAACACATTCTCAGCTGCCTTGGGGAGGGCCCGGCCCCATCCTCGGGGAGCGCAGCCCACTGGATGGGCTCTGGTGGCCCCTCGCTCCCCTGACGGCAGGCTCATTGCAGATGAGGATGATGTGCACAGGTGTGGCCGCTGCCAGGTGGAGTTCACTGCCTTGGAGGACTTTGTTCAGCACAAGATTCAGAAGTCCTGCCAGCGGGCCCCACATGAGGCCCTGCCTGCCACCCCTACTGCTACTGCCCTGCTGGGCCAGGAGGTGAGCTCCTACCCACCCCGTTAGACACTGGCTGAGGAGGGGTTCCTGGCGACCTGGGGGCAGGCAGAAGGCAGAGGGCAGGCGTCTGCTTGTGGGTGAGCGGGTGGTCCAGGCTGTCCTAGTTGGAGGCTAGTGGTGCAGGGGGGCTGCCCGCGTGCCCAGGGCTGGCTTGGCCCTGAGGAGGCACCGTTGTGAGATGGGGTCCTTCCTTCCTTTGGCCTCAGGGCCTCTCTTAGCTTGAGTTTCACGTAGCTTTGCCTTCTTGTCCTGGACTGTGCTCTGCTCACAGTTCCTGGGGCAGGGCATGGTGGCCAGAATACAGGGATGGGACTGGCCCCAGCTCTAGGGCCCGGCTGGGCGTTTGGCAGAGCCAGCCACGGTCCAGTTGGGGAAGAGCCCCTTCCAGCCATCCCACCAGGGGGCAGGTGTGCCCCTGCCCTCCCCGCCCCAGCTTTCCACCAGGGAAGCTGGCCACGCTCCGGAGGCCGAGTCCATATGTGCCTGTTTGTCCCCTGATCCCGTTGGTAGGTGGTGCCAGCAGCAGGCCCGGAGGAGCCCATCACTGTGGCCCACATCGTGGTGGAGGCCGCCTCCCTGGCAGCAGACATCAGCCATGCGCCGGACCTTGTTGGTAAGTCAGCTCAGCTGTGAGCATGGCGCTGTCCACGTGTGGAGCTTGGTTCTGAGCATCGGAGGCTGTAGTCCAGCTAGAGGATGAGGTGTCTCTGCTGCATATAATCCCTACTCTTCAGAGCAGGGCCTGGCCACCAGGACACAGGCCTTGGCTGAGCCCTCCGCTGGCCCCGGGACTTGGGCTTGCTCCTGGTGCCAGGCCCGCACAGCCCTGGGGCACTTACAGCCAGGCAAGTCTTCAGCTCGAGTCCCATCATGGCTGTCTCTGCCTTAGTCTTCCTAGAACCTTCTGCACTGGTTTTCTTGGCCCTACATGGCCCACTTGACTCAGTGAATGGTGTTGCAAGGTTGGTGGGCGTGGACAGCGCCCCAACCTGTTCGTGTCCTTGCTCTTCACTCCCAGGGTTGCCATCATTGGTGTGGAGTTCCTGCCCTGATTCTCATCGGGCTTTTATGAGCGTGTGATGCCAAGCCTCTTTGATGCTGTGTTTTATGATCATGGGCTATGCTCTGTGTGTGTGTGTGTGTGTGTGTGTGTGTGTGTGTGTGTGTGTGTGTGTGTGTGTGTGTGTGTGTGTGTGTTGGGGTGAATGTGAATGTCAAGCTGTGGTTAATTGGAGGCTTCTGGGTGCAGAGGAGCTGAATGCTGAACGAAGGCAGTTGAACGTGAAGGAAGAGAGGCTGGTGCGCAAATGTCAGGGGAGGGCAGAGGGGCTGGGCCTGGGCGGCGGCAGGGGGAGAAGGGAGCAGCAGTTCCCTGGCTGGCTGCTGTTGAGGGGCAGAGGCGGGTGGGTGAGTGGGCAGCTGGACAGGAATTGGGTTTGGACAACAGGTAGAACTTGGCTTTGTGAAGCTGCAGGAACCAGCTTAGGCAGGAAGAAGAGGGAGGATCTGTGGGGGAGGCCAGCCCCAGGCTTGGGAGGGGAGTCTGGGCCGGCGGCCCTCCCTAGGGAGGTGCTGCACACCTGTGCCCATCACTGCCTTTCCTGGAGGTTCTGCAGCACACGTGGAGCAGTGTGGTGTCTGGGGTGGGTGTTGTCCCTTGAGAAACGAGTTCCTTGGCTTCCGGCACCTGTGTAGACTCCAGACCTTTAGCCTGCTGAGCCCCTCTCCACCCACCTCTGACCTCTAGTGGCTCTAAGTCTTTGCTGGGCACCATCATCCTTGAGCTCTCCGGGCACCTTCTGCCTCTGCATCGCGCAGCTTTGGCTGCCGGGTCCTCACCTGTCAGGCCTCTGGTCCTCTGGGAAGATACTTGTGGATTGTTGAGAGTGTCAGCCGGGACCTGGGTGAGAGATCCCCTTAATTGTTTATGAGTCATGATGCTTTCATTCTGTTTTGCGAGAATGGCCTGTCAAAACAAGGTGCCATCCTGATGGAGATGGTTTCTAAGAGGTGGCTTCACAGCTTGTTCCCACTTGTCACTTCGTGAGCAGAAACGTGGAGCTTGTTTACACGATAGCTTTCCACATCGTCACATTTCCTCTGCACCACGGGGGAAGTGCAAAACCCTGCCTGCCTTTCCTCAGGCCATCTCGGGTGCCTGGAAAACGCATCCCCAGCGCTGGCGTCCCATCCCAGCCTGCACCGGGCAGGGCTCTTCTTTCCACTTCTAGCAGCTCAGACCATTGCCCCTCTCTCCGTTCCACAGGACGTGTGCCCCTGGGCATGGGATGGTGGGTCTGCTCACGCTTCCTACACTGGACACATTCTGGGGGCCCTGGAGCCCTTCAGGCAGCGTTGTGGCGCGGGAGGGGTTGCCACTTGGGGCCTGTGGAGCCCTCCCTCAGTGCTGGTCGGGTTTGGGGCCAGGTGCAGAGCAGGGGCCCCGCCCTGGGTGTTGAGGACAGGTCAGGCCCCGGGGTCTCCCTCAAGGGGGTCTCTGTGGGCCAGACCTGTGCCAGGCCCCAAGGCTTATGTCCACCCACCTCTCCTCAGACAGTGGGCACATCAAAGAGGTCATTGTGGCTGCTGAGGCCGAGCCTGGAGACGGAGAGGTGCCCGAGGCCCCACCCCGGCGGGGACCGGGGCTGGCTGAGGAGGCCGAGCAGGCCCAGGTGAAGCTGCTGGTGAACAAGGATGGCCGCTACGTGTGCTCGCTGTGCCACAAGACCTTCAAGACGGTGAGCCCGGGGTGGGGCTGGCGCCGGGGGCTGGGCTGGCGTGGCCCCACCGCCCTGCTGGGCCCGGGCCCCTGAGCCGCGCCGCCGCTCCTCCGCAGGGCAGCATCCTCAAGGCCCACATGGTCACCCACAGCAGTCGCAAGGACCACCAGTGTGCGCTCTGTGGGGCTTCCTTTCGGACCAAGGGCTCGCTCATCCGGCACCACCGGCGGCACACGGGTGAGCGGCGCGGGGCCGAGGGCTGGAGCCGCCCCGTCAGCCCGTCCTGACCCTGCCCTGCTCTAGACCTCGTGCCCCAGCTCCCCCGGAAAGCAGCAGGGCTCCACGCCTGCCTCCCCTCCTCCCCGGCTCACCCTGTTCTCCCAACAGATGAGCGCCCATATAAGTGCGCCAAGTGTGGGAAGAGCTTCCGGGAGTCGGGCGCGCTGACCCGGCACCTCAAGTCCCTCACGCCGTGCACAGAAAAACTCCGCTTCGGCACGAGCAAGGACGTGATTGTGGGCAAAGAGGACGCACCTGCGGGTACGCGCGGCCGGGAGGTTGCCGGGCCGCGGGGGCCACGGGTCTGGCGCCACCATTCAAGGACACGTTTTGGCTTTACCCTGAAGGGCCGGGCACCTCTGTGGGGACAGTCACGTCTGTGGCCGGAGAGCCTGTGGAGACATCACCCGTGATTCACCTGGTGACAGATGCCAAGGGGACTGTCATCCATGAAGTCCATGTGCAGATGCAGGAGCTGCCCCTGGGCGTGAGAGCGCTGGCCTCGGAGGTAGGGGTCGCGCTAGCTTCTGCCTGCTCAGTGCCAGGCCGGGCTTAGGCCTTGGTTCCAGCCGCAGGCCCAAGGCAGACTTGTGCAAACTGAGCTCCATGGGGACCTCAGTTTGGTCTCGGGATGGGAGGGGCTGTGTGGTTGGGGGGGGAAGGAGAGGGGGAAAGGGGAGGGAGGGCTGGGGTTCGTCCAGTGAGCACAAAGGCCGCTGGCCACGCACTGTGGGGCGTTGAGGATCTGCATTGAGGAACCTGGGAGGAGAGCCTGGCATGGGTCGGCCCGGTGGGGTGACTGAGAGGGCACCCCCATGCTGGGCCGCCTGGCAGCCTCCCTTCACCTCCTGCAGCCCCCTGTCCCTGCGGAGCGCCCCTGTTCTGTGGAGGGCAGCCGAGAGAACTTGCTGCACCAGGCCATGCAGAATTCTGGCATTGTCCTTGAGCGGGTTGCTGGGGAGGAGGGCACCTTGGAGGCCGCCCCTCCCTCTGGGTCTGGTCCGCAGCCCCTGGGAGAGGGCCCTCCGGAGCTGCCGCTGCTGGAGGCCGAGCGGATGGAGACGGTAGGTGTCTGCTGCTGGCGCGCCGTGTGCTTCCCGGCCCGGCTGCCGGCTCCTTGCAGCGGGAAGTAGCGTTGCTTTCTGCGGTGACTTTGCTTCCTGGCCTGTTTCCTGTCTATTCCTTGGGCCACAAGGGAGCCTGGGGGTGGGGGGCGGGCAGGGAGCGGGAGTGGAATCTTCTACTTGTGCCTGGGGCGCAACCCAAAGTGGGTATTTAGCTCTGCCATATGGTCTCCCAGCAGATGGCCAGAGAGGCTTCGGCTGTGCCCAGGACCCACCCGTGTCCGCAGTGCAGCGAGAGCTTCCCCACGGCTGCCACCCTGGAGGCCCACAAGAGAGGCCACCAAGGTGGGTGGCAGGGTTTGGGCGGCACAGGCAGCAGAGGTGCGGTTTGTGGCCTGTGGTTGTGTCTGACCCGAGCGTGTTTGGCCGCAGGGCCGAGGCCGTTCACCTGTGCGCAGTGCGGCAAGGCCTTCCCCAAGGCCTACCTGCTCAAGAAGCACCAGGAGGTGCATATGCGCGAGCGCCGCTTCCGCTGCGGGGACTGCGGGAAGCTCTACAAGACCATCGCGCATGTGCGTGGCCACCGGCGCGTCCACTCGGACGAGCGGCCCTTCCCCTGCTCCCAGTGCGGCAAGCGCTACAAGACCAAGGTACACGCTGGCCCCTCGCCCCCCCCTCCCCTCGGCCCCCCACTTCACTCAGACCTGGTGGCTGGGTCCGGGAGCTGGGGTCCTGTGCTGAGGCCCGGCCGCATCCCCTCAGAACGCCCAGCAGGTGCACTTCCGGACACACCTGGAAGAGAAGCCACACATTTGCCAGTTCTGCAACCGGGGCTTCCGGGAGAAGGGCTCGCTGGTGCGCCACGTTCGGCACCACACGGGCGAGAAGCCCTTCAAGTGCTACAGGTGTGGCCGTGGCTTTGCAGAGCATGGCACGCTCAACCGGCACCTGCGCACCAAAGGTGTGGCCCTGGCTGGGGGGCGGGGGTGGGGGCCTGGGTCTGACAGGGTGTGACCCGTCCTGCCCGCCCGCCCACCCCAGGGGGCTGTCTGTTGGAGGTGGAAGAGCTGCTGGTGTCGGAGGAGCGCTCCGCGGCCGTGCTCACAGAGGACCCCCACGCCCACGCGGTGCTGGTGGAGTTCTCGTCCGTGGTGGCCGACACCCAGGAGTACATCATTGAGGTGAGGTGGGTGTGTGGCGGGCGGGACGCAGCCCTGCTCGGGCCAGCACGGGCTGACCAGGACTGTCCGTTCAGGCCACTGCAGATGATGCGGAGACCAGTGAAGCTGCCGAGATCATTGAGGGTGCCCAGACAGAGGTGAGGGCTGGGTCAGGGCGGGTGAGGGACGGGCGGGCGGACTTGCCGCCAGGTGGTCCCTTGAACCAAACAGTGCCCCCAGGTGGACAGCCACATCATGAAGGTGGTGCAGCAGATCGTGCATCAAGCGAGTGCTGGGCACCAGATCATTGTGCAGAATGTGACCGTGGACCAGGAGGCGGCGCTGGCCCCAGAGGCAGCAGCGGCGGCCGACACCATCACCATCGCCACGCCAGAGAGCCTCACAGAGCAGGTGGCCATGACGCTGGCCTCGGCCATCGGGGAGGGCACCGTGCTGGCGGCCCGGGCAGGCGCAAATGGCACCGAACAGGCCACAGTGACCATGGTGTCATCCGAGGACATTGAGATTCTTGAGCATGGCGGCGAGCTGGTGATCGCCTCACCCGAGGGCCAGCTGGAGGTGCAGACTGTCATCGTGTAGGAGGGGCCGCGTCCCTGCGGACCAGGGGCAGGGGCAGGACCCTTGGGTGCCTGCCCATACCTGCCTGGCCTACACAGGAGACGGCCTAGAGCTTCAGGCATCCGGAGGAGATGGGGCGTGTGAATACGTAAAGGGTTTTTTTGTTGTTGCTTTTCAATAAAATATGAAAACCTGCAGCTTGTGATGTTGGGGCGGTGGCGACCTCCGGGGCCAGTGCCACTGCTGCTGCAGGTGTCCTCTGGAGGCGGCTGCCTGGCTGGACCACCCTCTGCTCTCCAGTGCCTGCTCCAGCCCGGGGGCTCTGCCAGCACTGGCGGCGCCTCCGTGGCGTGTGGGTGTCTCTGGCATGTGGATAGGCTGCCTTGCCCAGCTGGAGCTGTGATCCCAGTTCCCCTAGCCGTGCCAGAGGGCGAGGACGGGGTGGGTGCTGCCTGCCTTGCCGGCCGCCTCCTGCTGTGAGGCTGTCCTGGGCGTGCGCTGAGGCTGAGACGCGGGGCTGGGACAGGCCCAGCTGCCTTTCTCTCTCTGAGGAGAGGACAGGTGTAAGAAGCAGCAGGGGGTGCTTGGCCAGGATGGGACTGGTCTTTCTCCATTACTCCACCTATTTCTCTTAGGGAACACAGCTCAAGGAAGCAAATTCTGGGTGACCTAATTTCTGGGGAGGTGGAGGCAAGAACAAGATCTAGGCTGTGGGTGCGGCTTTCCTCTTCAATCCTGAGGCCATTCTAGGGGGCTGTCAAGGGCTTTTCCCACTGTTCAGGGCAGGCCTGGAGCAGGGCAAGGGCCTCTCCCATCATTCTGGGGCAGCCTCCTCTCTTGCCCTCTTGGATCTCTGGGAACAAGAGCTAGGAGTTCTGGCCTCCACTGGGGTGGGGGTGGGGGCGGGACCCACACCAGCCCCTCCCCTGGACCAAAGGCCTCAAATACCTGCTGGTGCTTTGGCATGAGAGCTGCTGTGGAACCAAGACGCAGCAGGTCCTGGCCACAGCATCCTCCAACCTGGCCTTCACCCCAGCGGCTCAGGACTCCTGAGCCTCGCCATACCACCAAGTCCACATCCCAGGTAAGTCAGGCTTGAGTGAGCTGGGGGTGGGTGTGTGGGGGGGAGTCCTCCATCTGAGCCTCAGTTTTCCTCATGGGAGACAGTCTTGAGTTGACAGCCACCCCCACCCTGGGGGCACAGTGGGACAGTGGAGGGGTAGAATGTGCTGTTGGGAAGGCAAGCCTGCTTTCCCAGGCTGGGTGTGGGTTGGCGTGCATAACTTGGCTGTGCCTGTCCCTCAGGCTGCTGGTTTGTCATGGGTGGGCCCTGGGCTGTGCTGGCTGCGCTCTGGGCACTCGGGGCTGCCGGGGCTGCTGCGTTGCGTATCGGAGCCTTCAACATCCAGAGCTTTGGTGACAGCAAAGTGTCAGACCCAGCCTGTGGCAGCGTCATAGCACAGGTGAGGCACGGCCGGGATGGTCAGCCGGCCCTGTGGGCAGTCTGTGGGTGTGCGGCCCTGTGGGTGAGCGGCCGGCCCTGTGGGCAGCCTGTGGGCGAGCGGCCGGGCCCTATGGGTGAGTGGCCGGCCCTGTGGGTATGCGGCCGGGCCCTGTGGGTGAGCGGCCTGGCCCTGTGGGTGAGCCCTGTGGGTGAGTGGCCGGGCCCTGTGGGTGAGTGGCCTGGCACTATGGGTGAGCCCTGTGGGTGAGTGGCCGGACCTGTGGGTATGTGGCTGGGCCCTGTGGGTGAGCGGCCGGGCCTGTGGGTGAGCGGCCGGGCCCTATGGGTGAGCGGCCGGGCACTGTGGGCGAGTGGCCGGGCCCTGTGGGTGAGTGGCCGGCCCTGTGGGTGAGTGGCCAGCCCTGTGGGTGAGTGGCCGGGCCCTGTGGGTGAGTAGCCGGCCCTGTGGGTATGTGGCTGGGCCCTGTGGGTGAGCGGCCGGCCCTGTGGGTGAGCGGCCGGCCCTGTGGGTGAGCGGCCGGCCCTATGGGTGAGTGGCCGGCCCTGTGGGTGAGTGGCCGGCCCTGTGGGTGATCGGCTGGGCACTGTGGGTGAGCGGCAGGGCCCTATGGGTGAACGGCCGGGCACTGTGGGTGAGCGGCAGGGCCCTATGGGTGAACGGCCGGGCACTGTGGGTGAGCGGCAGGGCCCTGTGGGTGAACGGCCGGGCACTGTGGGTGAGTGGCCGGCCCTGTGGGTATGCGGCTGGGCCCTGTGGGCGGGCAACCGGCTGCACACCCGCGGCTCCTCCCCAGATCCTGGCCGGCTACGACGTGGTGCTGGTGCAGGAGGTGCGAGACCCAGACTTGAGCGCCGTGTCCGCGCTGATGGAGCAGATTAACAGGTGCGGTCTGTGCCCAGCGTCCCGGGCTCCCTTGCGCCCCCCCCGCCCCCCCCCGCGCTCGGACTCAGGCCCCGTCTCCCCTCAGCAAGTCCCGGCACGAGTACGACTTCGTGAGCAGCGCGCCGCTGGGCCGGGACCACTACAAGGAAATGTACCTGTTCGTCTACCGGTGAGCAGAGTGGCGGCGGGAGGGCGCGGGGCGGGGGGCGGCTCAGCGGGCCCGTGTCCTCTGCCCCAGGAAAGCCGCGGTATCCGTGGTGGACACCTACCAGTATCCGGACCCGGAGGACGCCTTCAGCCGGGAGCCTTTCGTGGTCAAGTTCTCCGCGCCGGGCTCCGGTGAGGCTGGCCCCGCCCCACACTGGCCCCGCCCCTCGCCCCGCCCTTACTCCGGGCCACCACGGCCACGCCCCCTCCACGGCCGGTCGTGCCCCGCCCCCACCATGGCCACGCCCCTCCACGGCCGCCCGTGCCCCACCCCTCCGTGCAGCCCTGGCCCCGCCCCCACAGTCAGCTCCGCCCCTTTCGGCTCCACCCTCGCCCCGCCCCTCAGGCCCTCTTTCCCGCAGCCGCCGGGGAGCTGGTGCTGGTCCCGCTGCACGCCGCGCCACACCAGGCCGTGGCGGAGATCGATGCCCTTTACGACGTGTATCTGGACGTGATCGACAAGTGGGGCACCGACGTAAGCCGCCCCGGGTCCCGGCAGGCCCGCGTGGGGGTCCGGGCCCGCGTGACCGCGCCCCCGCCTCTCCGCAGGACATGCTGTTCCTGGGCGACTTCAACGCCGACTGCAGCTACCTGCGCCCGCAGGACTGGGCGTCCATCCGCCTGCGCAGCAGCGAGGTCTTCAAGTGGCTCATCCCTGACAGCGCCGACACCACGGTGGGCAACTCGGACTGCGCCTACGACCGCCTGGTGGTGTGCGGCGCCCGCCTGCGCAGGAGCCTCAAGCCGCACTCGGCCACCGTGCACGACTTCCAGGAGGAGTTCCACCTGGACCAGGCCCAGGCGAGTGTGGCGCGGGACCCGGGCCCTCCGCACCCCGGCCCTCCCAGGCGCTGAGGCTCCATTTCCTTTCCCTCCAGGCTCTTGCCATCAGTGACCATTTTCCCGTGGAGGTGACCCTCAAGTCCCACTGACAGCGAAGGCCCGGCCGCGGCCACCACTTACCCTCAGACCCGAGAAACGGACACCGTGTGAGGTGGCCGGCCACCCCCACCCCATCAGTGAGGACGTGGGGCAGGGTCATCTGAATGTGGAAGAGTGCCTCAGTTTCCCCACCTGTAGGATGGTTACCAGCACCTTCCCCATAGGGTTGGGTGAACACTGTCCTGGCTCACACCTGTACATTAATAAATAAGCCGCTCTCAGCCAGGACCACGATGGGGACCAAAAGTTCTCTGTTCATGCCGAGGACCAGCTGTGCTGGGGTGCAGTCTGGTCCTGGGGGGCCTTCTTCCCACCCCCCTTCGGGACAGGGACAGCCTGCACCAAGTTGTCCTGTGGGGATGGCTATGAGACAGCTCAGGGAAGTTGTCCCCCTCCTCCCCATGCTTCCGAGAATGCAGAGTGGAGGGGGGGGAGGAGTGGCTTCTTGGTTTCAGAGCAGGCTGATGCCATGCTGCCAGAGGCCTAGGCTCCACGGGGAGCCCTGAGAACGGGTAGGCCACTTGGGCCTAAGGCTCTGCCCGGTGACTGTACACTAGGCTGGGTACAGCCTTCAGACGCGCGTCCCTGCTTGGAGCCTGGGCTGAGCACAGGCTCAGGACAGTGCTTTGCACCCAGGAGAGCCAGCCATCCCCTTAGCAGGAATGCATGGGACCCTGTGATGTTTTGGCTTTCCGAGCATCTCTTTGACAGGATTTCAGCTTGCCAGAAGGGAAAAGCTGTTCAGAAAGTGGTGCTGGGATTGAACCCATGTAAGGCAGGCATCCACCTGGAGCTATATCCCCAGCCCCCAAGTTTGGTTCTTATGTAAGATTTTCCCAAGGTGCTTCAGGTCCTTGCCTCTGGCTGAATGAATGGGGGTGCTCAGGGGCTTTTAGGGGGGGCAGGTCTCTGTGGGCCACTGGATTCCTAAACTGCCTGGACTCCCTGTCCAGCAGGCAGGGAGGGTAGGACAGGTCAAAAGGACTTTATTTACAATTCTGCTTTGGGACAGGGGACACTCAAGTACAAACGTATACAGTGTCCCCTTGCCACTCATTTCCAAAGTCCATACCCTGTCCTGTCAGGCGGGAAGGTGGAGGGCCTTCCATCTAAGACAATCAGGAAATGTAAAGTGAGAGGGCTTTGTAAGCTGAAAAATCCCTTGCTTGACCCCCAGAGAACCTTGAGCGGCCCTGAGGACTCTCCTGGTGGGCTTGAAACCCGTCTGCAGCTGAGCTTAACCTTTCTTTTGTTTGAGCTTTTCTAAGTATATGTGCAGGGACTTCTGGATGGAGTCTTTGGAGATGAAGCTGACGAAGTTCTGGATGTCGGCCTCACGCTGTTTGATCAGGAGATCTGCTGTGGCTTTGCGCATCATGTTCTTGGTCAGCTGTCGAGCATGTTCTAAAGAAAATAGGATTCACCCGTGAAAACCCACCTTATTTCTCTCTATGAGAATACTCTCTCTGAGTATTCAAACAGAAACTTGGTCATGAAGGCTGTGGTGGTCACATGTCCAGTCCTAACAGTCACGCAAGTGGAGACCAGAGGACCCCAGTCAATCACAGTGGGTACAAGATTCTATCTGAAAACCAGGACTTAAGTGATAGCGTGTTCAACTAGCAAGTGCAAGGCCCTAGGTTCATTCCGTAGCACTGCAAAAATCAAAAAACCCAAGCTGGCAGAGAACTTAGGGTGTCAGGTAGAAGACAGCAGCCACTGTCCCTGCTGCCTACCAACTTCTCTAGTAAACCACTCAGAAAACCAGAAGTGGAGTTGTGAATCAAGTGGTAGAGCACTAGCCTTGAGCTGAAGAGCTCAGGGAAAGCACCCAGGTCCAGAGTTCAAGCCCCATAACTGACCAAAAACAAAAAACAAGAGAACAAAACAAGTCTCACAGATTTTCCTGCCTGGGCTGGCTTTGAACCTCAGTTCTCTAATCTCAGTCTCCTGAGTAGGATTACAGGAGTGAGCCACTGGCACCCAGTCCAACTGTCCATTAATGGACAGTTCAAGTTGTAAACACCCATACAGCCTGAACTGTGACCTTATCTAGAAAATGTCTAGATTTTTTTTTTTTTTTGGTCGGTCGTGGGGCTCGAACTCTGGGCCTGGGCACTGTCCCTCAGCTCTTCAGCTCAAGGCAAGCGCTCTACCACTTGAGGTACAGCGCCACTTCCGGTTTTCTGGTGGTTTATTGGAGATAGGAGTCTCACAGTCTCTCCTGCCCGGGCTGGTTTTGAACCGCGATCCTCAGATCTCAGCCTCCTAAGTAGCTAGGATTACAGGTGTGAGCCACCAGCGCCCGGCTTAGAAAATGTCTAGATTTTTGAGATGAGATGGCTTAGGGTACAAGCAGGGCCCTAATTCAAAGCAGAAACCCTTGGAAGATCTGGGACAGACACAGGAGGGGAAGTCCCTACGTAGAAGTGATTCTGTTGTCAATAAGAACAAGCGGAGTCCACCAGGAGCTGAAGAGGCCAGGGAGGCCCACAGCGCAGGCGGGTGGCTGCCGGCCGCCGGGCTGTGTGTGGTCCTTCGATAGAGTGAGTGGCCCTTGCCTCACTGAGGTGGATCTGCGGGGGGCTTCCCTTTGCCCCGGCTCCTCACCTGGGATGGCCAGCCACTGGGCCATCACGGAGAGGGCTTTGCTCTGCACCTGGTCCTCGGGTACCACCTGGTCCACCATGCCCACCTGCAGGGCGTCTGCAGGGGGGAAGAGCAGTCCGAGCTGTAGGGCCCGCTCTGCCGTCCGGTGCCCGATGGTGTTCACTAACGTGTCTTTGAACCTGGAATGAAGATGCCCACTCACTTCTGCCTCTGGGATCTGTTCAACCCAAGTCCACAGGCAGTGTGGGTGCAGTTCTGGGTCTTACCAGAAGGGGGCGACGATGCCAAGCAGGGTCTCATTCAGTCCTATATTGTACTTGGGGTTGTCAGCCAGGACTCTGTAGTCTGAGCAGAGAGCCATCAGACAGCCCCCGGCAGGAGAGGCGCCCTGCAGGGAGAAGCGGGACATACCCAAAGGAGGGCTGGGCGTGTACCCATGGGTATAAGCATGTCCATGCAGCCATCAGCCAGAGGCTGACCACAGCAACTTCAGCTTCTGGGTCCAGAAAAATCCCTCTCCCGGGTGGGGAAGGTGGCTCAGTGGTAGAGCGCTTGCCTTGCATGCATGAGGCCCTGAGTTCGATTCCTCAGTACCACATAAGCAGAAAAAGCCAGAAGTGGCGCTGTGACTCAAGTGGTAGAGTGCTCGCCTTGAGCTGAAGCGCTGAGGGACAGCACCCAGGTCCAGAGTTCAGGCCCCACAACCGACAAAAAAAAAAATCCCTCTCCTAGTCTTTGGGTCAGGGGTCACATGGCTTCTCCTCTTTAGTTGCTGTACACTAGCTTTCCGAACCAGCACTGAGCCACAGTGCTCATCTCACCTCAGACCCCATGGACTAACCTGGGGTGTGGGAGGAGCCCCCAGGCAGCAGGTTGGGGCATCTTCATCCCTCCCGCCCCTCCCCCTCCTGGGGCTGCAGCTCCACCCTCCCACCAGCTGGCGCTGCTCTTTGGCCCCCCTCGCCTTCCAGGTCTGACCAGAGTAACATTTATAAAATGCATATCTGGACTCAGGCTGGTCATCTTGGCCCCGCTCCTGAACTGGCCTGGAGCCGGCGAGAGGCCCTAAAGTAGGGACACTCACGTTGATGGCCGAGATCACCACCATGTTGGACAGATAGAGCCTCAGCCACAGCTCCTGCACCGCTCTCCAGTACTCGGCATAGTGGGCCGGGTTCCGCCCGCACATCTCCCTCAGGTCCAGGCCGGCAGAGAAGATGCCGGGGCGGTCCTGTGGGGAAGCAGCCAGGGCCGAGCTGTCAGTCCACCTCCGGGTCAGCAGCATTCCTGCCGGCAGGGCTGGGATCTGTCGGGAGTCAGGACGTGGCCCCTTCCTCCCCAGCTTCAAGCAGAAGCTGCCCAAGTCATTCAAGACTGAGGCTGAACTGGTCCGGGAGGGTCTAAGGGCAGTGACAAGCCTCCTTACAAGGGCAGGGAAACGCACTCGAGGAGAAGTCCTGGCACAGGACTCTGGGTACCACTGGGAGCCTCACAGAGCCTTTAGAGGAAACAACCTCCTGGCATGCAAGTCAGAACGGGGAACCACTGGTGGAGGCGATCACAGCGGATGCCATGATCATGTGCTGAGCGCTCCCTGTGGGCCGGGACCTGTGTTCAGTACACAGCAGGTGCACAACACAGAGCACGAACCCATCAAGGCATTGCCTGTGGAGGAGCTGCGATCACACTCGGCACGCGTGGGCCTCTCATTCAGAAGCTCCTGGGTCTGGGAGACAGCTTTCTCACTGCAGCAAGAAAGTGTCCTGCTAGGGCTGGGCAGGTGGCTCAGTGGGAGAGTGCTCGCCTAGCATGCATGAAGCCCTGAGTGCCATTCCTCAGTACCACAGACACAGAAAAAGCGGGAAGTGGAGCTGTGCCTCAAGTGGTAGAGTGCTAGCCTTGAGCAAAAGCTCAGGGACAGCGCCCAGGCCCTGAGTTCAAGCCCCACGACTGAAAAATACATAAAGAAAAAAAAAAAAAAACAAGTGTCCTGCTAGCCAAAGCCATCTTGGAGTGTTTCAGAGTCATCTGAGACTGTGGGAAAGCAGCTTGGGGCTCCGGTGCATCCGAGCTCCCAGTCTACCCACCAGGAGAGTCTGCAGCAAGCCCCCTGCAGCAGCCAGGTGAGGTGGGCGTGGGGGCGCACTGCTCTGTGTCCCCAGCTCCAGGGCAAAGGGACTGCCAGCAGCCAAGAGCCATCCCTGACAGAACTGGGCGTCCACCGGGATCCTTGGGAAGTTACAGTGGCGGCTCCCGGGTCCACCCCCTTGACCAAGAAGGCAAGGTATATGTCTGACCCTGCACCTTTGCTGACCATGATTCAGCTGTCCTGTGGTGCCTGCCCTGGATATTTTTTTTTTTTTTTTTTTTTTCGATTGTGGGGCTTGAACTCTGGGCCTGGGCGCTGTCCCTCAGCTCTTCAGCTCAAGGCTAGCACTCTACCACTTGAGCCACAGCGCCACTTCTGGTTTTCTAGTGGTTTATTGGAGATAAGAGTCTCACAGACTTTCCTGCCCAGGTTGGCTTTGAACCATGATCCTCAGATTTCAGCCTCCTGAATAGCTAGGATTACAGGTGTGAACCACCGGCGCCCAGCCTATCCTGGATTTATATCATGGTGGCCACTCAGCTCTGGAGAATAAGCACTGTCGGCCTCATGGTGATCTTCCCAATCAGTGAGGGTTGGAGTTAGTACCACACTCGTGGTCCTGGCACCGAGGGGTGCGGTGTGAGCAGCGAGGCCCGGGCTGTCTGGCACCCCACCCTCTCTGGTGCTTACAGATCCTCCCTGACTCGACACTGTTTCATTCAGGATCCTGTGTTTGGCACATGTCAGCATTTGAGGACCATGCTGATTAGGCTCCTCTTATCTACTCAGGAGGCTGAGATCTGAGGATCATGGTTTGAAGCCAGCCTGGGCAGAAAGGTGAGGCTCTTATCTCCAATTAAATTACAGAAAAGGGGCTGGGAAGGTGGCTCAGTGGTAGAGTGCTTGCCTTGCATGCATGCATGAGGCTCTGAGTTCAATTCCTCAGCATCACATAAGCAGAAAAAGCCGGAAGTGGTGCTGTGACTCAAGTGGTAGAGCGCTAGCCTTGAGCTGAAGAGCTGAGGGACAGTGCCAAGGCCCAGAGTTCAGGCCCCACAACCGACAAAAAAAAAAAAAATTACAGAAAAAGCTGGAAGCGGTGCTGTGGCTCAGGTGATTGAGCGCTAGTCTTGAGCAAAAGGAGCTTGACAGTGCCCAGGCCATGGGATCAGCCAAAAAAAAATTCAAATGGGAGTGGAGCTCCCATGTGAGCCAGAGCTCCTCAGCCAGAAGCGGAGTCCAGCTGGGGCCAGCTCCCGCTCAGGGAGCCACGGCCTATGGGCACTCAGGACGCACCAGATGACTGACCCACCCGCCAGTCCACCCCTGCCTCCCTCCACTCCAACCCAGACCCCCGCTGCTCTGCCTTGGAGAGGACAGGCTGCCAGGACACACGCCGTTGTCCAGCGGTACCTTGGATGCCTCTGGTGGTGTGTGTGGCATCCAGGTCACCAGAGGCTGCAGGCTCCTCCCAGCCACACGGTGACAGCAGGCCCCCGCCTTCTCCGGGCCTCCCCCCTGCACCAGGGCCCAGCCCAGCACCTACTGAAGTCAGGATGAGACCACGGAAGGACTTGTCATTCTCCAGCTTCTCCAGGCTGATGACCAGCTCCGTGAGGAGCTCCAGGCTCAGGCTGTTCACCGGAGGGTTCTTGAACTTCATCACGGCAACCCCTAGGTTACAGGAAGGGGAAGCTTGCACCTAGTCCTGGAAGAGTACCCGACTAGACTGTACCCCCACACAAGCCGCATGATTCTGGCATCTTGAAATTGGCACCAGCAGCTCACACCTGTCATCCCAGCTACTCAGGAGGCTGAGATCTGAGGATGGTGGCCCAAATCCAGCTCAGGCAGGAAAGTGCAAGAGAATCTTCTGTTTTTTTTTTTATTTTTTTGAGTCCGGTCGTGGGGCCTGAACTCTGGGCCTGGGCGCTGTCCCTCAGCTCTTCAGCTCAAGGCTAGCACTCTACCACTTGAGCCACAGCACCACTTCCGGCTTTTTTCTTTTTGCTTATGTGGTGCTGAGGAATTGAACCCAGGGCCTCAGGCATGCAAGGCAAGCGCTCTACCACTGAGCCACCTTCCCAGCCCTGAGATTCTTCTTAGCTACCAAAGAGCTGGAAGTAGCACTGTGGCTCAAGTGGTGGAGCGCTAGCCTTGAGCATAAAAGCTCAGGAACAGCGCCCAGGCCGAGTTCAAGGCCCAGAACCAGTACACCCCCTCACCACACTATACCCTCCCAGAAAAAGTTGGCAAGTAAATTGACTCTTTTGGGAGGGTTACTGGGGATGGAAGCCAAGCCTCTGCGCCTGCTCTTCCCCCTTCCTGAAGGCGGTGGCGGTCTGGAGGCAGTCCCTGCCCCCCACCCAGGGCGAAGGGCCGCCTGGTGTGTGGACGAACCAACTCTGTGCAGGCGGCTGGACAAGGAAATGATTGAGCGCCCACTGTAAAGCCAGCTGTCTCCCTGCGCCGACAGCCGAATGAGCACTGAGGACCTGGGCTGGGAACACAGCTCAGGGGAAGAGCACTTGCCTGGAATGCGTTAAGCCCTGGGTTCCATTCCTCAGCACTACATACACAAAAGAAGCATGAAGTGGCACCACTGTGGCTCAAGTGGTAGAGCATTAGCCTAGAGCAAAAGAAACTCAGGACAGCGCCCAGGCCCTGAGTTCAAGCCCCGGGACTGGCAAAAACAAAACAAAAATGAGCACCTGTTCTCCTTACCTTCAAAGGAGCAAAATGAAAAATATTCATTTCACATCACATCTTATAGGTTGCAACGACCCTTGATGTGGGGAAAATTCTCCTTTAGTAGCAAATTTAACAAAACAGAACAAGCAAAACAGGGCTGGTTCTCGGGTGTTTTTTTTTTTTTTTGGGTGGTGGGCAATACTGGGATTTGGACTCAGCAAAACAACACAATAAACTCAAGTTGTCTTTTTTTGGGGGGGGAGTCCAGTCATGGGGCCTGAACTCTGGGCCTGGGCGCTGTCCCTCAGCTTTTCAGCTCAAGGCGAGCGCTCTACCACTTGAGCCACAGTGCCACTTCCGGCTTTTTTTTCTTATGTGGTGCTGAGGAATGGAACCCAGGGCATCATGCATGCAAGGCAAGCGCTCTACCACTGAGCCACCTTCCCAGCTCCTCAAGTTGTCTTCTTGTCTTTTTTTGCTTGTTTTTTTCTTTTCTTGTACTGGAGATTGAACCCAGGGTGTCGCCCTTGGTAGGCAAGCGTCTTGCCATTGGGCCTCCTCCCTGCCCAACTTCAGGTTGTCCAGGGCTTGCACAGCAAGGGCAAGCACAGACCGGAACAACAAAAAAAAAGAAGTCTTCTGCAAGCCTGAGGCTGTGTACAGCACAGCCCGTTAAACAGGCAGGGCAAGGACCAGCCACGTCAGCAATGACCCTCTCCCTCTCCACCTGCCAGCCCCACCGTCCTTAAACATTTGCCATGCCTGTACAGAGCCAACAAATGAAGATTTGCAGTACTGAATGCCCCTCCCTTTTTTTTTTTTTTTTGGTCAGTGGTGGGACTTGAACACTGGGCCTGGGCGCTGTCCCTGGGCTCTTCAGCTCAAAGTGTGCGCTCCACTGCTGGAGCCACAGCTCCATTTCTGGTTTTCTAGTGGTTTATTGGAGATAAGAGTCTCACAGAAGCTGGGCACCAGTGGCTCATGCCTGTAATCCTAGCTGAGATCTGAGGAGCGTAGTTCAAAGCCAGCTGGGGCAGGAAAGACCATGAGACTCTTATCTCCAATAAACCACTTGAAAACTGGAAGTGGCCCAGAGGCTCAAGTGGTAGAGTGCTCACCTTGAGCTGAAGAGTGCAGGGACAGCGCCCAAGTCCAGAGTTCAAGCCCCATGATGGACCAAAACAAAAAAAGTTTCATAGACTTTCCTGCTGGGGATGGCTTTGAACCATGATCCTCAGATCTCAGCCTCCTGAGTAGCTAGGATTACAGGCATGGGCTACTGGAGCCCAGCCTACCTAAGTCAATTTTTTTGGCCATTGTTGGGGACTGAACTCAGGGCCTGGGCACTGTCCCTGACCTTCTTTTGCTCAAGGATAGCACTCTATCACTTGAGCCACAGTACTACTTCTGCCTTGGTACTGAAGAACCAAACCCAGGGCTTCATGCATGCTAGCCATGCACTCTACCACTCTACTCAGCCCTTTAATGTATTTTAAAACATGCTTTGGTGTATGTGCCTCAAGTTGCCCAGAAGTAAAAAAGGATTAGAGTATTTTCATTGTACAATGTCTGGCTTTTTCCTTCAGGGAGGATGGAACCATGCTTGGCTGCTACTAATGTAGTCAAGCTGGCTTTGAACTCTGGACTTTCTGCCTCAGTCTCTACTACTAGAGTTTTGGGTGTGCACCTCCATAGCACAAATCCTACTGCTTTTTTCTTTTTTCAGTGGTCCTAAGGTTTGAACTCTGGGCCTGGCACTACCCTATGACTAGTGGGCTCTCTGAGGCTCACTTCCGGTCTCCAAACCTCCAGTGCCATGCAAACACCCTGAGGTCAACATTTCTTACATGGTGGGGTGAGAAAGCACTTCATCTTGCTATCCAGAAAGTTCTGGGAGGGTGGCACACCCCAGAGGTGTAGCCCCTCGCCCTTCCCAGCTGCCTGACCCGCACCTCAGCTATTTCCAGCAAATGTGCGCACGATGCCCGGGCTGCCCGTCTAGCCCTCGGAGGATTCAGCTCTCTTTCCCCTTGCCTCAGCTCTCTCTCCTCTCGTCTCCTCTCCTCCCCTCCCATCTCCATTTTTGTAGTGCTGGATCAAGCCCAGGACCTTGCACACACTAGGCAAGTACTGGGGGATTAGTTCTGCCCTGCAGCTATCTGCTACAGAAAGTACAGCAAGTTAAAGCCGGTTTGAGTCAACAGCTCAAATGCCAATTTGTAATCTATTTGTTCAGTTGGGTTGAGGGATTTTGAAAACAGACTGAAGTGAGCGTTATCATTCCAGATGAACTGTCTATGACAGTCATGTTCCAGCAAAAGGACTCCTGCCAAGTTGGAAAGAAATTAAGAGTGTCTGCAAATCTTACACACCTCCCTCTGCTTGCAATGTAGAATATTTATTTTATGGAGACAAACGTTATCAATCAGGTAACGTTTTGAGCAATGGAATCATCTGTTTAGTCTGCACTGAAAGTAAATATGTGCCAGAACACAAAAACCAACATTTTAAAGCCAGGCACCAGTGGCTCAGGCCTTGAATCCCAGCGACTCAGAAGCCCGAGGCCCAGGCAGAAAAGCCCCCAAAGACTTTTTTTTTTTTTTTGTCGGTCATGGGCCTTGAACTCTGGGCCTGGGCGCTGTCCCTCAGCTCTTCAGCTCAAGGCTAGCGCTCTACCACTTGAGCCACAGCGCCACTTCCGGCTTTTTTCTTATGTGGTGCTGAGGAATCGAACCGAGGGCCTCAGGCATGCGAGGCAAGCGCTCTACCACTGAGCCACCTTCCCAGCCCCCAGCCCAGCTTTTTGCTAATGAAAAACTGGAGTCTTTTTCTGCCCAGGCAAGTTTTGAACCGCGACCCTCGAGTTCTTGTCCTGAGTAGCTGATTACAGGTATGAGCACCAGTGCCCAGCTTCCCATAGCTACTCATAGCCACAGAGGAGCATCCGAAGATGCTGGGAAGACAGATTCAGGTGCAACAGCCTTCCCCTCTCCACGTGCACAAACCCTGCATCTCCCGAGGGCCTTTGGAGATGTCAATTTGGAAATGAAACAAGAATTCAGGTGTTGGTTGTACAGGCACAGAATCATGCCCAATTAAAATGCTCTAGAGAAAGGCAGTGACCAGTACTGTTCGCATTCCAATCCTAGATTTATTCAATACAATTCTTTATTCTACACAACGAAGTACAAACACAACCTTACCTAAATGCTAGTTACAAAACTCAAATTTTATAGTACTGACTGTACAATAAAAGCCAAAAAACAAAAAACAAAAAAGAGCAATGTACATGTTGCCAAGGCAAACCTGCAAGACCATCAGGAAAGGCAAAGTGGGGCGGGACAGGGTTCTGCCAGCTGCAGAGCAGGCTCAGCTGCTCACAGGGTTCTGCCAGCTGCAGAGCAGGCTCAGCTGCTCACCAGCTCAGGAGGGAAGACAGGGGCACAGTGAGGACATGGGAAATAGACACATTCGTGGCAACTAACACAGGTAGAAGAGGACTCGGGCAGGGCCGGGCCAGGCCTCACACAAACAGTAGCTTGGTCCCTTTCTCCTGCCAATCACTGCAGGAAGAACAAGGGCATGACCAGGCCGCCAGGCTGGCCCAGTACCCTGGGGCAAGGCTGGAGCACTGCCACCGGGAGGCTTGTCTGTTGGCCCTGCACGGAACACTCTCAGAACAGAGAAGGGGTGAACTCTAGCCAGAACACTACAGGGCACCTTATGAACAGAACAATCCCACAGCACTTTGGCAGCCAGAACTCGCCCACAGAAGAAATGTTTTAGCTGCTGCTTCCAAGCCTGCTCCCAGCAAGGGATCCTTTCCCACAGGCCCTCCTTTGGCTAGTGAAGTGACAACTGGGCTGAGTGGGCACAAGGTGCAGGGTGAGCGCCAGGCCCTGCTTATCGGGAGGAGTTGGAGCTGGAGCGGCTCCTGTGGCGCCGGCGGCCAGGAGAGCGTGATCTCCGGCGCACAGGGGACCTGCGTCTCGGAGAGCGGGACCTGTGGGAAGAGAAGCCGTCAGTCAGAATGTCACAACCAAAAGTCCCAGCAGCAAGCGGTTTGTTTTTCCTTCCTGGAATAAAGGTCACATTTTACTTTTCAGCCCCAGGGACAGGACTGCTGGTTGGACGGAACCGTGTCCTTAGCTATTATGAAGGCTCTCATGGTAGCCCTAAGCCCCAGGGAAGAGGTGCTTCCAGTCGCCTGGCATTGACACCTTTGCCCTTGTCCTGTCCCCGACAAACTCCCAGAGCTCCAATGTTAATCTGCCTTTTGCCTACTGCCTCCCCACAGCAGTGGAAGGCAGAAAACGTTGAATTAAAGGTCTCAGAACCATCACAATCAAACCAACCAGTCTGGTGGGCACATGGACTTACCTCCTCCTCATCCGCGGGGGTGACCTGCGCCACATGGGGGGCGGCGGCAGCATTCTCCTGGGAGGACTGAAGCGCCGAGGGGGTGGCCTCGGCCACGGGGCCAGCACTGCGGTGGCTGTGATCTCCTGGCCATCAATTTGACCTAGTGAAAAAGGACCCCCATCAGGAAGCATGCCATAATCACCACCTTGACCAGCCATGAAGGCAAATCCTGGGCATGCTATGGTGAACAAGACAGGCTGGGGACAGTGATATCCCAAAGCAATCCTACCAACAGCCACAGCAGGACTGTTTCTGCCAGGGAAAACGAGGGGCAGGGATCCCAAAGGGGACATCCGCTTGCGTACACACAGCTTCCTAGAAGAACCACCACCCACCCAAAGACCGAAAGGAAGTGCTGGAGCCTTCAACATAGCAGTGGAACAAGCTTGGGGCGGGATGAAGAACTTCCTTAGGTTTCCAGTACTGAGACAGACAGACTAATATGAATCAAAAGGGAGGGAAAGCCAGGTGCCAGTGGCTCACTCCTGTAATCTTAGTTACTCAGGAAGCTGAGATGTGAAGATTGAGGTTCAAAGCCAGCGCCGACATGAAAGTCTGAGACTTATCCTCAACACCAGAAAACCAGAAACGGTGAGAGTGAGAGTGCTAGCCTTGAGCAAAAGAACTCAGGGAGGGGCTGGGAAGGTGGCTCAGTGGTAGAGCGCCTGCCTTGCATGCCTGAGGCTCTGGGTTCGATTCCTCAGCACCACATAAGCAAAAAGAAAAAAGCTGGAAGTGGCGCTGTGGCTCAAGTGGTAGAGCACTAGCCTTGGGCTGAGGGACAGCGCCCAGGCCGAGTTCAGGCCCAATGACCAGCAAAAAAAAAAAAAAAACAACAACTCAAGGGGCTGGGAAGGTGGCTCAGTGGTAGAGCGCTTGCCTTGCATGATCAAGGACCTGGGTTCGATTCCTCAGGAAGCCATTAGGCAGAGCTTAGTTGTTTGGTATTGTATGCAGTGGAAAGTTTTTCATCTCCTTGTCAAAATATTAACAAAATCAGATGTAATTTCTGATACCTGGAAGGCTGACATAAGAAGGACTGTGATTCCAGATTATCTTGGTATAGTTAAAAAAAAAAAAAAACAACTCAAGACGTTCCTGCCCTGGCTGGCTTTGAAGCGCTATCCATAAATCTCAGCCTTCTGAGTAGCTAGGATTCCAGGTCTGAGCCACTAGCGCCCGGTTACCTCTGCATTTTTACTTTATAGTCTCACCCAAGGACCTCACTACTGAGGATCAAAGTACAATCTTCACCCTTTCCTAATTCTTTTCTTCCTCAAGTGCATGTACATCCATATGCTTGGGTATTTTGCAAGGAAGTTGATAAAAATATGAAAGAGCTCTTGTGCTCTTTGGGGGTAGAGAAGGGACTGCGTTGGAGGAGCTGATGCTCACAGCTTTGGAGGCAGTCTCTCAAGTCCAGGGTTCCTGAGTCTGCGCCTCATTTTTATTTGCTTGTTACATCCTGAAGACTGTGGATTCCTGGAGCTTCTGTCCCAAATAGCCTTCCCGTAAACATTTGTTCATGCTGACACTGACATCCCCCAACTCTTTGTCCAGAGTGCTGGGGACTGAGCTCTGGCCTTGTCTTCTTTTGCTCCAGCCATGGTCTCAGTCCTTTTTCAGACTCTAAGTCTGCAGTACCTCTCCCTCTTCCCTCCCACACAAAAATTTCTACATTAAGTCAAATATATTCTTTGTAAGAAAAGCTTCATTTGATTCATTACTGTCAACAGACTGAAATTTCCTAAAATGTTAACACATTCACATTTGCTGCATTTCAAGAATAAGAACTGTAATCCTGAATAAAATCGGGAATCCTTAAAGAGCTCCAGTGATACTCATGGAGCTTAGCTGGAAATCAGCTCCCCCCATAGGCACAGACCCCTGGAGCACAGAGGCAGGAGGTGCGGGGTTACCGGAAGGACCACCCACCTCCATCCATGTGCTTCAGCGCCTTCTCCGCCTCGTCTGGATTCTCAAACTCCACATACGCGTAGCCTTTGGACAGGTGAGGGTGCATTCTCTCTACAGGCATGTCAATCATTTTAATTTTCCCATAGGTAGAAAATATCTCCATAATATGATCCTACAGGAAAAGAATGGTTATACTAATCAACAATTTTTTTTTCTTTTTGGCCAGTATTGAGGCTTGAAGGTTTGAACTCGTAGCTTCATTCTTGCTTAGTCAGCACGCTACCACTTGAGCCATGACTCCAACCTGGCATTTTGCCGGTTATTTTGGAGATGAAGTCCTGAGGATTTTTCTGTCTGAGCTGGGTTCAAATCTTGATCCTCTGGATTTTAGCCTCCTGGATAACTAGGGTTACAGACCACTGGCACACAATGTACCCACATATTTCTTAAGAGGCAAAGAGAATTTACCATGCAAACCCCAGTGTAAAAATGTTCTGCTACCTGACAAGAGCTACTGTGTTCTGGCTTAAGCCTCATAGACACATGTGCTGTGTGTTAAAAGGGTCACCCAGTGTGCCCCTTAAATCACGCACCACAGCAGTCCTGAGGCACACTTGCTAGCACAGTGCACTCACTGCTATGGGTGCTGCATCCCTCACCTTGGTCACGTTCCTGGTGAGCCGCCCTATGTGCACCTTGGTGGGCTTTGGGGAAGGGCTCCGTCTTTTCCGCTCCTTTTCATCCCTTTTAGGTGGTTTGGATCTGACAGAAAACAAAATATCAAAAAGCACCTTCTGTCAAGTAAGAATGTAATGACAGTTTCACTGGGAGTGGAGCGCAGTGCGAGACCCTAGTTTTCATGGCGGTGGGTCACCGTTAACGGGGTCAGGACTGACTCCTGTTTAGTGGGATATATCTGCTTGTCTTGCGTAACATCTTTCACGAGGAAGAGGTTCCCGTTGCTTTATGCACACCACTGACTCGGGTGGCCCTTCGGATCTCATCTTGTGGGACGTTTGCAGCCGACCTGCTGACACCCACTCACTTAGAACGGGAGCTGACGCCCACTCACTTAGAACGGGAGCTGACGCCCACTCACTTAGAACGGGAGCTGACGCCCACTCACTTAGA